CTTGTTGCCCCCCCTTCGACGTCATAAAATAACGGCAACAAATAACTGTAAGACGCAAATTACCTTAATGTTTTTAGGGTCAATCTTACCACAAACCTTTACATGGCTTCACAAATGTGGACTCACCTTGTCCCTCACTTAACACCTACCTTGTCAACACACCAGAATTATTTTCTTTATACGACTTCACCAATGGATTAATAGCTTCTGTTCTAGAGTCAGTCAGGGGATTAGGCTATAATATTATAGACAGTGTTGATACAAAGTTGTCTTTTTCCAGATTTTGGTTGTGATCTTGGAATGGTTTGCCTTTACAAAGGTACAACAAAGGCAAAGACAAAAGAAATTGCCTTTGAGAAAGGCAAAGGCTTGTGCCTTTGATTTCAAATCGCTACGCTTAGACCCACCTATTTAAAGTCAAGTGCTAGGTATCAACACTGATTATAGATTTCTAATCTTGTCGTTGAAAAAAATTTAAAAAAAACTTTTTTTTGATAAAAAGAAAATTGCTAAAATTGTCATTTTAATCAGCATAACTTTACATATGGACTAGTTCTCACATCAATTTATTTATAACCAATTTTTTTTCTCAACCACATGTTTTACATCAGAATCAAACTCAAATAAACAGAAAAAAAATTACATGAATTGAACATAAACTTGACGCCTAATTGGCTTTGATAGTCGAACTCATACATCCACAAATCACTATAATTTAACTCTAACAATAAATCAATAAACAATTTTTTCGGATATTCAATATCACATTGAATAAAATTGAAGAGAAAGAAAAATAAGAGAAAATTAACCAAAATTGATGTTGGCATGAAAATTGAATGAACATATTGAACGAAAAAAAAGAAGAAGGAACAGTGTGGTTGGTTAAATTGTTGGAGGAGAAAATGTTTTTTGTGTGGAAAATTGTGATTGAAATGTGAAGGGTGATGACCGAGAATGGAGCATTAAATTTATTTTTTGTTGCATTTCCTCAAGGTTGATTTGGGGGAATGAAGATGTTTCATGGAATTTATTCTGACAGATAATAATTTTATCAATATCTAAGCATTCCATAGCTCACCCCAACAACCCTGTCTACCAATAAAAGTGAGAATAATATAACAATTCCGACCAAGATTTCATTTCCAGATTACAGAATGACAAATGGAAGAAATCATATGTGAAAGCCACACTCCATCAAGAATATAATACTCTTTACCAAGAATCCATTCCTTTTATTAATAGACACTCAGATGTTCTCGGAAATGAGCTGCCATAAAAATATCAAATTCAACTCTTTAGGGGCTTCTGCAATTCACTTATATGTGCTACCTTAACATACACATTTATTTAATTAAAGTGTCTGCTTGACACTCTTATCACCGTCACGGAAAAAGAAGAAAACTTTTTCACAGGAATGTGTTATTTTTTGACCGTATAAACTTTCTCGCGCGCGAATTTATGCTGCCATACCTGTCTCATAAAGAAGTGAATATGATAAACTTTTTTAGCTGGAATAATGGGATTGGGGAATAAGAGTATATTGGCAGTTTGGGTTTGTTGTAAGGTATTCGAGTGTTTATGAGATTTTATTGTAAGCTGATGTGGCTTCGGTGGCAGAATGGTTTAGTACTTCGGTACCTAATTATTGTAATCCCGACCCAGCAATCATGGGTTCGAGACTGGGTATGGAAAATTTTCACTTGTCCCTTTTTGAATCATATTTACTGGTATGAGGCTCACAGCCTTCTTTTGTAGGCTATAGACAGAAATGTCATCAAAGAAGTTTGAGTGCAGTGGTTTGGCGCATCCCTACATGGATCACTATTGATCACTTCCCTGTTGCTTGAAAATTTTAGCTAGACATTAGGTAAGACAGCTAGAGAGGATTATACTTTAGCTTCTCATAGAGAATAGTGATGACCAGCAGTAAGTTAAAACTTCGCCTCAGTTCACGTCATTTACAAAAATAACAGACTCCATTTAGTAATGATTTACCATTAAATCTTCCTGCTTAAAAAACAAAAATTACGTTTCATAGAGATAACTTAAGATTCTTTGAAAAATTTCTAAATGCGTCAACTTCACCTTTTCTTCAACTTTTTTACCCTCTTTTTGCTTTCCTCAACTTTTTCTCGCACCGAATGTGATCCTTTTCCTCTTTCTCTGTTCTTTTTTTTCTATCCTGAAGCACTTTACGCTTAGCACATTGTGTAAAGTTTGCGAGTATGTCTATATATTCACAACGTTGTATGTTACTCACGCCATTATTGTTATTGTTATTTTTGTGTATGGCGATGCTTTTCATTTTTCCTGCTTTTATAGCTTGCTGAATAAAATGCAAATGAGATTAGAGACTTTTTCTTTCAAGTTTGCCTTATTTTTCTTGAATTTTCTTCCTCCTTTTTTTGTTGCTTTTTCGACGTCATTGTTGGCAAACGAATCCAATTTTATGCTTTTATTCTCTCTGTTCAGTTCCCGAGTTTCCTTCTTTCTTTTTTTGTGAACATCATCATATCCTTAAGCAGAGATGAATTTTCAACAGTGAAAACTATGAAAAGAAAATTTTCATAGTTAAAAATTTTAAAGAATACAGCTTAGGACATTTTTTAGGCATAATGTGAAGGACTCTAAAATCAAAGTGAGAAATCAGACACAACTGCTTGTTATAACTTCGTTTTGAAAAGCACATAAATTTATGAGAATAGAAAAACTTTGGAAAAACTTTTTCCACATTCATTCAAGCCCCGGTTCTCCAACAATCGGTCGAACTTTTTCTTATTCTTGTTTCATTCTTACTATAAATTGACGTTATCATCCGAGCACGTTCGTTAAAGTGATGAACACAAAAAGGGAGAGAAAATAAGAAGAAAAACTTTTCAATTCTTTCTTGACTCATTTTATTCATTTCGTTTTTTCCCATCCTACTCCATACAAAACTTACTAGCGATGACTTGCAATGGTTTTCGGTTGACTGCTTGGTTGGTGGACTGTGGATTTTATGAATGAGAATTTCCTTCGTGTTTTCTTTTCAAATTTGCTGAGACTCTTCTTTTATGTTATTTTCTATTTTGTAGGAGGCTACAAATTAAGCTGAAAATCCAAAATGATTTTGGGGGAAGTCATGATGTACTTAAAATATCAAAACAATAGCAGCCACGGAAGGCAGTTAATTTAAGAAGATAAGAAGTTAATTTTTTGTGATAGAAAGACGCATTTCATTGCTTGGATGCAATTTCAATTATTTTCGGAAGGTCAGCTTTTTGGGAGGCATTTCAAACGAAAAAGGTACAGAGGTTTAGCCAGAAAAAGGTTCTACCATCGTTTCAGCTACGTCTCTATAGAATCTATAAGATCCTTGAAAATATTTTTTAACCCATTCGGAGGTCAGAGGCCCACGAAAAATTTTTGGTCACGCTCTTGATGAGCAGGCATATCATATCCATTTTTAGATTTTGAAGTTCATTGAAAAAAGCTGCAAATTTTGACATTTAATTCTTAAATGCCAATCAACTCACCCAAATCAGCCACGCACAAGACTTCTCATCAACATTTTCTGCTTAGAGAAAAGGAACATTGTTTGCTTAGTCCTTGCATGTTGGTGTGGTTGTTGTTTCATCTTTAAGCAATCTACTGAGCTCGAAGATTATTTTTATTTTCTTCGTCCACTTAAGCTTTAATGCCATTTTGATTTTAATGAACATTTAGATTGGAATATCTTAAGAATCTCATCATGATTGTTGCTGTTCTCGTTGTTTGCATATAGGAGGGTATTAGATTGATATTTTTAAAACGATGAGGACGAAATTACAATTTTTGAATACAAAATTGAGGTTTTGAGGGAATGAAAAGGTCGTGAGATGGAAAATTAATATGAATTAGGAATTTTGATGAAGATTTTTCTTCCAAGAAATTCAAGATTTAATTAGAAATACATGACAAAAGTCGGTAGAAATTGAATAAGAACATGTAAATGTCACAGAATCAAGCAAGAATTAATTTAGACAATTTAAAAGTTTACACAATTTGTTATGAGAAATATAAATAAATAAATAAGCAAATATGTTTAATGCTATTTGAATAAGCCAGACAAGACAATGAATGTAAATGACTTTTAAACATTTTAAACGTTCAAGTTTGAGAAGGTTCAAGAAACAAAACAAAAAAAAAACTTTTTGATATGCGAACACGTGTTGGATGGGAGGGGGGTTTATAAACACACATGTGCTATGTATATTTGGATATAAATATTTTAACTGAAATTATCCATGAAAAGAACATTCAAGGATAATTTAGAATTGTTACAGCATTTAAGTTCTTGAATAAAAAACTTCGTGCAGACTTCAATATCCAATTTAAACAAAGCGACTACATCTCTGTTGATATTTATCATAAAAATTGGACGTTCCTAAGCAACAGTTTTTAGATTAAATCAGCGTTGCCTAAATTAATCTTCAAATAAAATTAAAACTCAAATTCCATCTAAATTTTCATCACATTGTAACTCAAAATTCCAACTTTTCTAAAAATGAAAATATAATCTACATATTATACCTTAAAATTTGCTATAATCCTTCCATTACGTGCAGCTTATTTTCTTTAATACAACACATAAGTAAGCGACATAAGAAACTTCATAAGATCTAGAAACTCTTCGTAATATTTACAATTTTAATGTATTTTTGTATCTTAACAACTAATTGAACAGAATGGAATGGAGTTTTACTTTTGCATTAGCATCATTATTCCTCTTAACTCTCACTCATACAGCATAAAAATCCCTCTCATATTCATTCTCGTACTTTATCCTACTTGCGACTTGTTAACTTTCCTGAAATAGGATGAGTAAGAAAGTCATGACTAAGGTTTTTGTAAACTAAGTTAAGGCTAGAAAATTAAGAGAAACTTTAGAAGATTCATGGTTGGGGAGGGTGGGGGGGGGGCTTTTAGGAAAGAGGGAGCCATGACATTAAAGTCTGATACTCAAGCTATAATAGTGTCTTTCAGGTTTTGTCCTCCTTAGTTTTTAATATTCCCGAAAAACTTTCAATTCGACAGACAGACTGATTTCCTCCATCTTTTAATTCACATTCAATTTGTAAGGCAACACTACAAGGAAGTACAATATAGAATTCATGCTTAGTATTACTTTCAGTTGCTGCAGTAAACGCTCACTAACCGTATGCTGTTTGTTGTTGTTGTCGTCGAGCTCATGTATTTTTTTGTTTTCATGTAAACAAAAAATTATGATTGCAAATTCAATCTTCTTGAAGCTTTAGAGCTTCTTACCGTTCTCAATGTTCAGGTATGAAGTAAATCTCTTTCTTGAAAGAATTTCGTTTAAAGCTAAAATTATATTTATTGCAATGCTTGAACATTATGGTAATTTATTGAATTCTTTTAGAACTTATAATCTTGTGCACTTTCTTATTTTCTTTTCCTTTGTTTTGTAAATTTCGCCGACCGACCTATATGACTCAACATGAAATTAAAACTATTCGTCTTCTGGTATTGGCTATTGAGTTTCAGGAGGAAGAAGAAATTTTATTCGATGAAAATTAAAACCAGCAATTTGTTTGCCAACATTTTATGCAAGTTTAGTTAAAGTAAGTTGTAGTGATGGACTTGAGAACGCATTAATATTAATTTTGGGGAATTGGTTGGTTTTTGGGTATAACCTTGTCATGTGTCTTGCTATGTTTTGTGTATCCTCTTTGTGGCTTCTTAATGTACAAAGGCTTAAAAATAAGTTTAAGTTACCTCAAATGAGACAGTTGCACTCGCTTCAATGCCCTTAATTCAATAACGACAAAATATCATCAACACACATTTTAAAATTCCTCAATAATCCAATTTTTATGGCAGAAAAAAATATTAAAAATCCCATAAGTTCCAAACAGAAACCCTTTAATCGTCCCGCATGAGAGGGCGTGCAATGATTATTGAGGATCAAGAGAAGATGTTCAAGTTTTTATGAAAAAAATAAATGAATGCAAAATGAAAGTAGTTTTTTGTTGAAAATACACAATGTTTAAAATATTCTTTGTGCATTCTCTGTTTTGCTTTTTTATGGCCTTTTGCCGCTTTCAAAAAAATAAAGGCACATACAGAGGATGAAAAAAAAAACATTGTATAAATTCGTAGTGCTGCTGCTATTATTGTGTGCAATAACAACAAAATTGTATGAAAGCAATAAATCCTTGACATATTTTTGTCAGAATTAATTAGGAAACACCGAAATGTTGATGCTGATGTGATTCAGGTAAGGGTTAAGTAAGTCGATCACAAATGGTGATTATAACATCCATCTCAATGAGGAAAGCAGTACTCCTGACCATAAAACTCTAAACTCATCTACGACTCGTTCTTAACCTAATTCATTCCCGCAAGGGTTTTGTACATGAAAAAAGAATGAAGAGTAATAAAAAGTGAACTATGCACGCCACATCCCGTGCAAAAAAATATAAAAAAATGTTTTTGCTGTTATTTTTTTAAATATGAAGTAAAAGCAAATAAATGTGAATAAAAATGCCACACACGAAAAGAGTCGAGGTAATAAGTACATGAACGGACTGAAATTAAAGTTAATATGAAGAATTTCCAGTCAACAAAACATAAATGGAGAGCAATTGGCAGAAATTAAGAGGACTTAAAAGGCAAAATTAAAGAAAATTGAACACCTCTGGTCGATGCTTAGAAGTGCAACGAAATGTGTGGTCAGTCGCATTTTCATGACCAATGAAGGCGAAGCAATTTCGAATGGTAAATTTGCATAGCTCAGGGGTAGCTGTTTACTTTTTATGGTGATTATTAATGCATTAACCTTCTTTTTTTATTGCTTTAATGACTTTATTTTGGGGTTCCGAGCAGGGCAATTTTACTTTGTTGCACAAACTTTTAATGACAATTAGACCCTTTTTAAAGCTTTGTGGAAATAAATTTGATTGCTAGTGAGTTTAGTTAATTTTTAATGTTGATTGCTTAGTGCTTTTAGATGGAAAACATTTTTTAATGAATTTTCAGATCGGAGATTAATTAATGGAAGCTGTCTAGATTTTAATAAGGGATTAGATAGATGCTGAGGTTAATGACTATTTTGTTGGCTTTAGCTGATGAATTTTTCATTATGAACTATTTACTTTTAATGGATTGTTTTGAGCTCTTTAGTTTATTTGTCCATCAAGAAGTTTTAAAAAAAATAAAGGAAATCAGTAGCGTCGCAAAAGGGGGTTCACTCCTTACAATAATACTTTTCTTACCTAATATTTACCAATCAATAATATTCCAAGAAGATCTAAAGAAGCACAAATCAGCTTATCATGACAAAAATCCCAGGAATAATACTCATAATAATCACCAACAGCATCGCCTAGAGATATTTTAAATATCATATAAAATGTAAATAATAGAATATTGATTCAATTCAGCACATCAGACAGTGAGCATGTTTTGTAAAGTACTGTAAGATACTTACATTACATTGTGAGCACACTCTATGTCTGTTTGGGACGAATCTTCTATTTATTGATTTCTAGAAGCCTCTTTTATGCTTATTAAAGTCCTGTCTCTTATTTATTACAGAATGAATGAGAAGTATTTACCTGAATCGTGTCTTTAATTATTGATTTGGTTTTCTAGAGGCGGTTCCGCTCACGTATTTTTCTTTCTCTTTACATAGATCTGTAGATTGATTCTGAGTAATTTATTTATGATAGATTAATAATTTTGCTTGTAGCTTTAAGCCCGAATAGCACAAGTCGATTAATTGAATAGAAATCTGGACCTAAGTTGGCATGACACTGGGATGGTGCTGGCTTCGATTTAAATCCAGCACCATGCCAGCTAAGTGCCAGATTTCTGATCGATTAACCGACTTGTGCCATTCGGGAAGATGATGTGAAGTTGTTGTGGATAATTAATTATTGTACGGTTTTTAAGATAATTTATTGAGTACTCGAAGATAAAACCTGGGGCTGGTTTGTAAGGTTACTTTAAGCTACTCTAAAATGAAAAGAATCGATGCTCTATAATTTTGGATATTAATAAGGTTTTTCTGTAACTTCATCAGGTGCTATGAGCAGCCGGCATCTCACAAAGTTACAAGACAACACTTTATATAGCCATCCTGAACCACGAGTCAAAACTCATCCCAAATTGTAAGAAATGCCATTCTAAACTTTATTTTATTTGCTCAAGTTCGAAACAATGCAGCTTTCTCGTCTCAAATATCTTCACCGTAAGTAATGAAAGTGAATAAAGAGCAAATAATCAACTTTATCATGCTTTCATATGTCGAGTGGATTTCATGTTAAGGCTTAGTTTATTCCATACATATTATGTTACATCTTGTTGTTTATAAATCGAATGCATGTAAGTTGTTACTACTTGTTGTAATGCTATTGTCATGGATATTAAAGAAAATGCTCTTCAGAGGACTTTAAATATGTCAATGAATCGATTTTAGAATTACATGAGCATAACATGAAGTGTGTTATGGTGATGAGAGAGATTGTTTGGCAAATATATTTTCATATATTGAAGATACGAGGCTTATGAAGTGCATGCTTCTTTACAAATTTCTCGTCGGGGTCGTTCCTGAGTCAGAATTATGTTGTCTATCATAAAAAGACTTTTTTAACTTATATGGACTAGAATTAAAAATTAAATCAATTTTAATGACTCAATATTTATTTTTAAAATAGTCTCAAAATGATTCATTACAAAAAGTCCATAATTAAACACATTCCCTTCCTTTATTTTCCAATTCTCAGCACATTTATTTTTATTATTTTGTATAAATAATTGTGGCATTTTTCTTCCTCATTCTGCATTCTTTCTTTTCTGTGTCTTAAAAGTTGGTCTCTTTTTATTGTCAATAATGTCTATGCCACATAACCATATCCACATGTAAAAAAGAATATAAATAAAAAATAAGAAATATATCAGACATTGAGTGAGACAGAGATTCATGAAATGTTTACATTCACGAGACATCAAAACAAATTTTTCACATCCAAAAAGTCAAGAAAGAAACAAAAAGAGTTGTGGAAGTAAATGAGGTGTCGGGATTTCGGGTGATTAGGGCGCACTTTAAGATCAGTCTTGAGATGTGATTTTTCTCAAAGAATTGAATTTTTTAAAGGTTTGTAACGAGTTTGAAAGCATTTAATTCTTTCTGGGTACTTTTCGTCAAAATTCTACCAAAACATCGTCTTTTCAAGATTCTAAGAAGCCAGCACAAAGTCATGAATTAAAATTTCCATCGTATATGTGAAGAATGAGTGATGGGCAGAAGGGAAAATAAATTAAATTAATTATTTTCCTACTGTCTTACAGCTTTATATCCAACACAAGAGGGAATATAAAGCAGAGCGGAAAGGTTGAAAGTTTTAAATCCCCAAGTTGGATAAACAATTTTCATCGCATCATTAAATTTATTTCCTAAAATGACACATAAATGACTTGCTCGAGAGTGTTGTTGTAGTCACAAATGTATAATTAATTCGATGAGTTATGACGACATTTCTCGTCTTGGTTGCTGTTGTGAGAGACCAAAGAAATGCATCTGCTGGTTTGGATTTTACCTCAAAAAGTTGGTAGAGGAGAAATTGCTTTCATTATTTAAAGTGACAGTTTTCGTACAGATAGTTTGAAAACATTGGAGACAGGTTCACAAGAGTCAATTTTATGCAAAACAAGTTACATTTACGTGACCCGAGATTTACTGTTTACTTTAATTGGATTCATATAAGTTCAAATAGTCTCTTGATATTTGCATATATTGATTGATGTTCCTGTATATTTAAACCATATTTAATCACCTTAAAGTTTATGAAAATTTCATTCAAAAATAAATAATGCTTTAAAATTACAGGAACAGGTTGAGAGTTTTAACGATAAATGCTTTCATGCTTGTTAACTGAAACTCAATGAAAATGCATCTCGCTGTGATTTAAAGTCGACTCGGAAGTTCTTTAAAATAATTTTTGTTTAATGACTTTCATCATTTCATTTGACAGTCACTTTACAGATAACTGAGACTTGGTCAGACGCATGTAGAAAGTAAACGGCTGAGACATTGCATTTACGTAAAGTGATGATGATAATGCAAGTCCACAAAATTAATAATAATTTTTGAGGTTTTTTTTCTGTGTCTCATTCAAGACGATCAGTAAACTTGACTTGCATCGTAAGTGGAATTAATAAATTAAACA